CTGATTTTAAAAGTCACTTAAGATTAGGGTTAGAATGCTCAACATGGGACACTAGAAATTAGTGGAGTAAAATCTTCAAGGTGAGATGTTTGAAGCATTAATTTTATGCTTATCTAAATTATTATTCAAAATTAAAGATAATTTAAATTCTGTTTTACACTTGCCAGTTCTAAAAATGCTTACTATTCTTTCTTAACAGATCTTCAAGGATGCACTCCAGTAAAATAAAATCACCAACTAGATAAAAACAGAAATGGGAGGTAAGAGAAGCAATGATGAGTCATAAGCTCTGAAGCAATTTTTTGAGAATCTGATTGAACAACTTTCATGTGATTTTTAATAAATGATTACTTTGAAAGTAGAAAATTGTCATTTTAAAAAATATATAGTTACTTTCATTTAAACTTGGACATATACAGAAGGTTGAAACATGTATCAATATTTTGCCATATTTGGGGAAAATATTATAATTAAGAATTCTCAGCATTTGTATAAAACATTTTAAGGGTATTTCTAGAAAAACAGAAATAGTACAGTGAAATTCTAAGACATTGGAACAAATAATTCAGTGCTAAGAGCCAAGTATATGATGCATGGCATTTTTGGTCGAAAGGTGACGCCAGCTAGCCATTGAGATATGATTATGTTAAGATTTGCATTCATATGGATATTGGACTCCTGCTGTTCACCTAGGCCGGCTACGGGACTCCTGGAGAGTTCCCATTGGTTGGGGAAGTACAGTAGGAGGGAGTTCCGGGGGAGGATCTCTCTCTGCGGGTCCGGAGGCCGCGTGGGTGGATCGAAAATCTTCCAGGGCGCGTACCGGACATTGGCGGCAGTTTCAAAAAATAATAAAGTTTGTTCCTGCTTGAGTGGCTCGTGATTTTGTGCCCAGCCAGACTGCGGCAATTCAGAAAAAAAGAAAAGTGTATTTTTAGTATTAAAGCACAGAAGACAAGAAGCAGCACAGAAAACAGACCTATCAAATAACCAAGCACACACACACACACACACTCACTTCACTCCACACATGAAGGACGCAAGAGCAGATTGAAGAAAAAGAAAAAGGAAAAAAAAAAAAAAACAACAACAAAAAACAGTGACGTGCGAAGTACAAGAAATAGAGAGCAACATGATATAGAAAAATGGAAAGATCAAAGGTCGAAAATGCAGACACAGATTGCAATCAACTTGATAAAATTTATCAAACCTGAAAGAGTTAAGAGATGAAGGCAAATGAAGAAGGAAAGAAAAAAATCAAGAATGAAAGAGGAAGCAGACCATTTCCAAAGGGGTGGGGCGGGGTACAAATGCCTGTCAACTTGTGAACACGTCTTTTACCTTTATTGTGCAGGGCTGGGCATGAACCCAGGGCCTCACAGGTGCTAAGCAAACACTCTACTGCTGAACTGGACCCTTGCTCTTGAACTTGTTCTTAACCCAGTAGCAGGGAGTGCACTGCAAATTACCAGAGGAAGGAGACTCTGTCTTGCAATGCAGTGTACCTGGGGGTAAGCAAGAGCAGTTCCAAGGAGCAGTAGGAAAGTTCCCACCCTCACTGTGGGTCAATGGGTATGTTTTTCTGGAGCATTTTTAGGGGACAATAGAGTAGCAAGTATCCCATTTTATACTGTGTAAGATACTTCTATAGAGCATTCCTGTAGAAATACTGGCACAATTATACAAAGCTGGAAGAACACAGATCTAATGGCAGCATTGTTCATAACAACTAAAACCTGGAACCAGATAAATGCTCATCAGAGGGATGAGGGTCAAGGAAACTATGGTACATTTATTTTATGGAATACTGTAGGGGTGTCAAAAATAATGCTATAAAATAAATAATGCTATGCAGGTACAGAACTAAGAATATTTAGAACTAAACAGTGTTAAAAAGGTGATGGGAGGGGGTCAGTATGCTGGGGAACAGTGGGGAGGGACACATAGTGAAAGGGAGCTCACATGGGCACCAATGGCACATGCCCAGGTGGTTTCAGTCCTTCTCTTTGAAAATGCAAGTGGATTTGGGAAGTTCCATAAAAGGAAATTATTTTTCGACTCAATACAATTCTGTATAATCTGACTTTTTAAAAACAAGCATTGCTGTATTAAAATTGTTGATAATTTTAAAAAGTACCCAAAAAAGGAAACTATATGAGCCCTCTTGAAACCTCTATTAAAGGAATTTTAGTTAAAATCAGGGACTGCCTCATTATGGTAGTTGGGTGCCAGGGGCTTGTCCTCAAACTACCCAGGTCCATGGGACAGTACCAAGCCAAAAGGAACACTCACAAAGATGAGAAAAACACAGAGAATAGCTACTATGAATTTCGAAATTCAATTAAAATTGTTCTTCATGAGACTGTAGTTCCCACATGAATTTGAGTGGCTCTGAGAAGCTTGGGTGGGTGCAGATGTAATTTAGCACTGAGGAGCTGCTTCTGGTCCCCTGGCTTACGTCATGTAGTTCCACACTGTGTACCAAGGCCATTAGCTGGTTTTCAGTCATCTCCTACACCTCTGCAGTCAGGTATTCACCTGCTAACATCCTAAGAGCAGCCCCCGTGGGTCCATCTCACAGGTACCTGAGACGGCTGCATGAGTCAACCCTACAGATCCTAGGAATCATCTCTCACTTTAGCAGCCAACAGGTATGAGACAAATATTCCAGGAGGGAATAAAACTTTTAATTCCCTGTGGGCTGGCCCAAAATCCCAGGCAGAAAATAAAACATATTAGCCATCAGGATAGCACAACAGAAAGAGGAAAATGTAAAGCTCTTAGTGTCCTAGCTGTATGACAACAGTGATGCTCTGTGGGTCTGCCATGGCATTCTGCAGACTGTCTTCACCCCGGACCCTGCCCAACAGAGCAGCCCACCTGTCCTGGGCATCAGTCTCCCAGCAGCAGAGAGAAATGAAGCCATGGACACCTCCTGGGGCAGCAGATCTGCCTGCGAACAGTAGGGGTGACTTCTGCCTGCATCTCATTGGCTGGAAGAGGTCACATGACCAACCCACCAGGAGCCTGGGCCATTGTAGGGGAGAGCTGGCATCCATCAGCCACACCCTGTTTCCCACAGTTTGACACCAGCTGAGGGGTGATTCCGCCAAGGGGGCGTTAGGCTCCCGCATGTACATGCAGATTTTGGTGTAACACACCAGTCAGTTGAAAGAACAAAAGTGCCTAAGAGTGTTGCTTTGGCCAACCCAGAACGAAATGTGAATGGAAACAGAGAATTCTCATCAGATGAACTACTGAGCTAGGAAGGCGGGTCAAAGATGACTTGACACAGTGACAGAGAAGACCACAGCCATGGGACAGGAGAGATGGATGCTTTGACTGTTGCTCCTCCTAATTCCAAGTGCTGCATATGCGTAGATGTAGATGGCCATATGTCCCAAGGAGGAATCACTTAGAATCTTCCTTTCATTAAAGAAAAGCCCTGGCCCCGCCCACAAGCTGCCCTGATAACCTACAGGCCTTCCTCATCCCCATCTTCCACTTCCCGGGTGTGGTTCATGAACGCTGCATTCCATCAAGTTCCTCAATGGGTCTTTCTGCCAGGACCCCTTACCCTTCTTCCTGGCCCATCACAAATCCTCCACACGTATTCACTGAAGAGGGCCAGGCAGAGGCTGAGGGGAGGCCCGCTCTGCCATCACATCAGGCTGCAGAGACACAGGAAGGCTGCTCACTGGGCAGGAAGACAAGTGCTTCTGGCCTCTTACTTCTTTTTAGTTCTGGATCCTTAAACTGTGGGAAAGTGACTGACCACCAGGAACAGGTGTGGAGATGAGGTGGGAACAGAGGTGGCGCAGGAAGGGGCGGAGTTGAGGGTGGGACAGGACGCCTGCAGAGACCCTGAGACTGGGGGAGCAGCGCATGCTCATAGGGCATGGGAGGACGTGTATGCTCCAGGTCATGCCACTTTTTTAAATGTCAGCCAGAGAAACCCGAGGGGAGACTCCTGCTCCCTGACTGGACAGGGGGACTGCAAGCTCCCTCTGAGAGAGACACGAGGAGCCTCATAATTGGCCGTAAAAGGGGCACAGCACGGGCTCACTGGTGTTCCACCCACTTGGCACAAGGCTGCAGTTCGTCCTGGGCGGACGTCCACTGGCTGGGGAGCTTGCTAATGTATCCAGCTGCAGTCCTGTCTATGCAACTGGACTTAGATTTTCTTTTTTTACAGCCCTTGTTTAAATCCAACTCCATCTCTACATCGGGCCAAATTGAAAACATGAGTCCAGCCTCCAAAGCTGGCCTACTTTATCATGATTTATTCGTGGGAACGCAAGGCTTGCCAAGAAGCGCAGGACCTCTGCCCGGCATTAATAACTGCAGATGAGATGGAGTCCATTGCATGGGAGAATTCAGTCCATGGCCGGATGCATTTAAGGGGGAGAATTTTTAAAGGTGAGACTCCTGCTCCCCACAACCAGGAGTGAAGAACTGTTGGCTGACTAATGTGGACGGGCCACAGGGTTCATGAAGAACTTGGGTGACGACACAGTTCCTAAGAATCTCCCAAAGATCCACTGAACCATGTCCAGCTGTGGTGGAGGGCAGTGGGGGGCTAGCAAACATTTAGCCCCCAGTTCTTCAAGGAGACACCTTAATTTAGAGCCATTGCCAATTTCAGAGTGTAAATACTCCCTTCCAGCAGCAGGCTGTGTGCAGTAGTTTTCCCATACAGGGGAGGTTGGCACAGTTAACCTTAAGACCATGGAGAGTGGGAAATGTAATAAAATAATTAGAAAGTGATTTGTTTTAGGCACCTGTTACTTTTTAAAATATATACTGTTTAATTTTAAGTTTGCATAACTTAATAATCAATAATGCTAGTGTCTGGCAACTGGCTTATGAGGTTCCTGGGAATCGAACAGTGGTTCTCTTGGGAACCAGCATGAGGCAGCTCCAGCACAATGGGAGGGGCAAAGGCTGCGTGTGCATGTGTGTTTAAGAAAGATGATCCACGCACCAAGGCTGAGCGAGTGCCCTGGAAGGCACTGTAATCCATTTCACCGATCCTAGGGTCTGGTTGCAGGTCGGCCAGGGCTCAAATTGGCCGTCTCAGAGCAGCCATGCTTTCAAGCATGAGCCAACACTCAGGGTCTGTGTCCTTGGACTGAATCCTCAGAGGATTCAAAATCCATCGTGTGTGCTTCTGAGAGTAACTTTAGCATGCACATTTTTTTCTCGGTATCTAAATCCTTTAAGATGTTCTCACCGTGGGTCAAATGGAGTGATCCCAGTGTTGTGTTTCCTTACATCACCTCTAAAGCAGAAACCCGAGAAGGTAAGAGACTTGGACTCTTGTCTGGGATGGTTTAACACGCGGAGCTGCCAGTGTGTGATGAGGAACAGGAACCGGCAACCAAGAGGCACCGTCAGGGAGCGGGGCAGCTCAGAGGCAGGGGCCTGAGGAATGCAGTTAGGAGCGTGTGGGGGCATCATGGCCTGGATCTGGGTGGGTAGGGGAGCCAGAGCTTGGCTAGAGAAGGGGCAATAGATGTCTGCCCTATGCTTCATAGGAGGAAGGGCATGTGACCCCCAGGCTCATTTCCTCATGTCTGAAGAAGGGGCAGAGGCTCCTTCATGGCCACATGAAACACAGGGCTCCCTAGAACTAAGGCCCCAAACCCGCACTCCAACAGAAGAACGAAGCAGCCCAAACCTCAGTTTGACCTGTGCTCCTGCCATGCAGTGCTGCGAGGACCGTGGAGACACAGGCCCCCCAGTGAGCTCCTGTCGGGGCAAGTGAGAGCCATTGGGGTGAGCAAGTCCTGCTCCTGCATGGCCAGCCCTCTTGCAGGGACACTGCCTCATGGCTGGAACATGGCTCTTGTCCTGGGGGAAGGAGGAGATCCCGTGTTACCCCGGGGTTTTTAGTCCAGGCTTGCTTCCCGTGGCCATCCCTGAGGGAGACCACTCTCTGCACTACAAGAAGGTGGGGTTTCAGGGGAGTCGGCCACCCTGCAGTTGTCTCTAGGGCTCCTCAAGGCCCAGATCCCTCTGAGGCTTGTTGATATCAGCATATGCTGAAGCAGCCAGGGTGGAAGAAGCTTCTGGCTTCTGGGTAACATGGGAACCTCAGTCAAGAGCAAAGGTGTCCTAACACGGAGGCTCTGAAAGGTCAAGAGGTCAAAGTCATCTCCATCTTCATTAGAGTCTGTCTCGAGGGCATAGGTGATGTTGTGTCTGCACAGGCACAGAGCGATGACACTGCAGTCAGGTGTGTTGACGTGTCTATCCCTGCACATGGGTACCTTTTGTGGGGACAGGAGGGTAAGAATGGCTGAAGTCCACCTACTGGGCAAATCCCCAGCATGCATGATCATCAGCTGCAGTCCTACTGTGCGTAGGTCTCCAGACTCACCTGACAAAGCTGCTGCCATGCATCCTTCACTCGCCTGCTGCCCCTGGCCAGCCTCCCCACCACCACCAGCCTTTGTGTTCTCTGGGTTTCTGCATATTTGACTTCTTTTCCCGCAGACATGTGAGACCTTGCAGTGTGTTTTTCAGTATCTGGATTTTCACTTCAGTATAACGTCCTTTAGGTTCATTCATATTTTTGCAAATGACAAAATTTCCTTCCTTTTTAGGGCAGAATGATATTCTGTTGTAAGTGTGTCCACTCATCTAAGGATGGACACAGACGATATCCACATGAGGTGCTGATTTCCATAGGAGGGGTGCGGATATCCGTGAGGTGCTGATTTCATTCCACTGGTTCTGTCCCCAGCAGAGGGATTCCACGTCACCTGCCAGCTCTGTTCTTGATGCTGTAAGCACTGTCTTTCTTACCCTCAGCCACCTGTTTGAGCTGCTTTCTAGAAAGCTCTCCAGGTGGGTTGATTGCTGCTTGAGGATTGGTTCAGCTGGACAACTTGTCCGTGGTGATGGGTGTACCGACAGAAGGTTCCAGAGGCAGAGTGGTGCCCGGGAGCTCCGTCCCTGCTCCACAGTGTGCCGAGTGCAGCAGACGTCGCGGAGGACATGAGATCAATGAAGGGAACAGCTGCGGCCATGAGAGCCATTGACCTGCTCAGTGACAAGGAAGAGTGCTCACATGGTAGAGAACGGTGAAAAGTCAATTCCATTTTTGAAAAATCTGTCAGATTAATTAAAATACAGTGTAGTACAGGAGAGCTCATTAATACCCCTCCGCCTCTCTCCTTATCTGCAGCGCCTTTTCTGCCTTCAGTCCCCCTCACCCAGCACCGGGACCTGCTGGCTTCACCTGACGAGAAAGTTTAGCACCGGGTAACAGTGAGGTAAGCTGACACGAGCAATTAGTGTCTGTTTCTAGAACAAATAGAAACCAACTGGCTATTAATATTGTCATTTTTAATCCTCTTAAATTATTTGATTAAAATAAAAGCACAAAAGCCAGAAGATGAGACCACTTTTTATGGCATAATTGATCTTTAAAATTGTCCTCTTTTATCTTGCATATTGTCAAAGGTGGGAGCAGCGGCTGCAGCCTTGCATGAAGACATGGGTAGGAATTATTCAAGCTACGACACTAGATCACCTGCGAGATTGTGCCCAGATATTTGGCCGGCTTGCCTGTCGACACGCAGGCAGCCCCTACTGGGGCTGTTAAGTGCTCTTGATTGGCCTGGACAGCCCTGCTTCCCCAGGGGAAGTTTTAGGATGAAAAAATATAATCAGAAGGGACCCGGCAGAAGACAGAAGCCAAAAGGGTTCCAGAATGGACCACTGTGGGCGGGACTGCTTGGGAAGTCTGCACAGAGCCTGTCAGATTATCTGTCTGCAGCAATTATGTTGATAAATTTGCCACAGGTCGCATCTTAGCCGTTGCATCATTTTGTGGTGTGTCACCAGGAAGCACAGGCCTCTGTTTGGGCCCCTCCTGGCACAAGGAGGAAGAGACACAGGTGACTGCTCACGTGGGTCTGTTGCAAATGCCCTCAGAGTACTTGCCTTCCTGTGTCTCCTTTTACCAGTCCTGGGACTTAATCTGTCTAAATGAAAGTTGTCTTCGGTTGCTCCAGGTCTTTACTAAGAGCACATGAAATTCCACTGAGGTGACCTTCACCAATAGGAAGCCTCTTTGCCAAGCACATCAATGCTGCTTTCAATTTCAACTAGCAAATTAGAATAAAAATTGGAAAGCATTTTCTATTTCAGTGGTTGCAGAAAATTTACATTTTAAAAGGCCCAGTTAAGATATTAGGTGGAGAAATTAATGAGTTTCCTAAATTATAAAAGGGGCAAAAAAATGTTTTTAGAAATCCAACATGAAACCAAAATCCAGGACTCTGACGGGGACTGTAGTTAGCCAGGTCCTCTCTGGACACAGCACGTGGTTCGGAGTTGAGCTCTGTGTCATGCAGAGGGCTGTGCAGTCTGTGGTGGCTCGTGACAAGGTGGCATCTACCCCAGTATAGGCAGACATCGCTTGGTTAATAGAGTCCAAGGAATGAAGGACCGAGCTCTGAGGTTCTCGTGAGGGATGGGTGCGTGCTTAAAGACAGCACAGGGGCTGCAGTCACGGCAGAGTGGTGGGCCTCCTGCCCAGGCACACAGCCTCCTGGACAGAGGACCAGAAAGCCAGAGAACAGTGTGTTCAGACGCAAAACCTAAACGGTCCCGATGACTTCAGGCCACTGAGGGGACTGGAACAGGAAAGAAGACCCTGTCTGCTCTCAGGCTGCTATTTAACCCTGCAACCCTGGGCAAGTGGCTTCAACCTACGTGTCTTGGTTTCCTCACCTTCAAATGGGCATGATAATAGGAACTATCTGGGAGAGTTAAGATGATCTGTTTATAAACATCTTAGATCCGAGATGCCCATTGCCAGTCATGAAGGAGCTGTTACTTAATTAGGAAAAACGTGAGGAAGGCTCTGATAACAAGAAGCGGGGGAGTGTTGTCCGGGAGGCCAGCTGCCGGTCACAGCTGGCTCTCTCAGGCAGGACAGGAGAGGAGGCCCTGAGTTGTGGAGGCAGAAGACTATGTTTTGTGTAAGTCTGGGCCCTGGGAAGGCAAGGTACCACCCAAAGGAGGAGAGTTGAGCTGTAACTCAAGAGAAGCACTGTCTAAGAGGACAGGCTGGGGCCCTGGCCTTCCGGAGGGGAGCAGCGGAAACCAGTGCACAGGACCGGGAGGTCTGGGGGTGCAGCAGGCTGCTGGTTATTTCTCAAGTTCAACTCCCAAAGAACCTGAGACCTCTTTATTTACCAAACACATATTATTATATTCCTTTGATTTTAAGAGCACATGTTTTTAAAACAGCTTTCAATGGGGATGAGAAGGAATCTCGCCTCCAACATGCACACTTATTGCCAGGTTCACCCTTACTTGAGAAATGTTAAAGCCTGTGTCCTGCAGGGAGAATCTAAAGCCAAGGAAATGCTGGGTGTGACAGAGCTTGTTTGACACTCCTGGAGGCCATCCAGAGGTGTAGATACTGCCCTGCCCACTGCTCAGTGCCTCTACCCTGGGACAGACTTACCAGTGTCTTTGCACTCACTGTGCCCGTGCGGAGCCAGCCCGGGTGCTGCCGAGGAATTCTGGAGAAGATAATAGTTTGCATGTTCTCAACCTTTATTTAGGGAGGAAAAATTGCCTACTAAGCAGTTGAGAAAATATTGCAAGCATGTTGCAAATACATTGAAGTAGGCTAGCAGTGACATTTGTGACCCCAGAACATGCTGGAAGGTGCAGGTGGGTTGTGTGGCATGTGTGTCAGCAGCTGGTCCTGCAAGAATCTCTGGCCCAGGGGGACTTAGCCGCACTGTCCTATGCAGCCCCTGATCCGTCCTTCATTCTGTTCTCCGACATGTTTCCCTTGTCCTCTCTGTTCTATTTGGGCTTTCCTATGTTTTTTAACACTTAACTAAGGGTGTCAGTCTTTCTTGTTAAATATGTACTTCTTTATTCTTGACTTTGCCAAACTTTTAACTGCAAACATTCTCTGACTCTGCCCCCACCAAGCTGGGTGACTAGCCCTAGCTGAAGCTCTAGAGGTGGGCCCTCTGGCCCAAGTTATGGCCCACTACCTGGAAGGAGCTGAGGAAATGCCCATGTGACATCATGGGAGGTTGAGCACCCTCTCCTCGCTCACCTGGGCTGCACACATACCGCACACACTCACACCCACACATATGAGGACCGCAGGACGAGGCCGTGTCTTGTGGCCTCCTGCTGAATGCATGCTCATGTCCCTGCACGTCCGTGTCCCACCAGACCTCCAGGAAGGGCTCCCAGGTACCCGAGCTCTTCCGCCCTCCTTTTCCTCCTGCTGGATTCCTGCCAATCAGCAACTTCTGAGTTTGAGGCCTTCAGACCATCTTAGAATTACAAGCCTGGCTCAGTCATTTTGGCAAATGATGATACACTGTCCTTTTCACTCCATGACAGACCAAAAGAAAAAGATATCTGTGAAGCATTTCATTAGAAGACAATTGTTTGTCATTGGTTGGGAAATGGAGATAATGGACTACGTCTGGGAACCTCTGGACCTGTTAAGGCCAGGGGACGTCATCACCTCCTTCTGCCGGGTCTCCACCAGCTTCTGCTCCTGACTTCTCTGCTGCCTGTGCCACCCTGCCTGCCCTCACTCCCGCTTCTTAGTGCACGCAGGTGTCCGGAGTGCCTGTCTGCCTGGCTCTGGTTGGACACACTCCACCAGGGCCCTGGGTTAGGTGTACTGTGAACGGGCAGGGCTGCAAGGGTCTGTGCCAGTGGCTTCTCAGTGGGGATGGGGCTACTGTCGTACCCATCTTTCCTCTGTTGGGGGCCACAGGGAGCCTGGCACAGGGCAGACACTCATCAGTGCCAGGGAGGTGTAGTCTCATGCTTAAAATGAAAAGACCTGCCCAGGTTCTGCTGGCATAGCCGTGTCCCTGGGCCCATCCTGACCGTGACCTCTGACCTCATCATGACCCCCCACTGCTCCTCTGGACTTGCCAGTTCTTGGCATGGCTTCTTGTTTTCTCTGTGGCTGGCTCTCTGCTTCCCTGCCTCTGCTCAGCCTGGGATACCCAGTCTTCATGGGCCTCTTCTGGCCTGGCCTCTTCTGGGCCTAGCCTCTGCCAAGCTGCCCAGCCCTGAGGGTGGTGGCTTGACCTCCTTGTTTGTTTGTCCTGTGGCTTTTCAGGGCAGCAGCGAGCTGTGCACACGGAGGGTTCAGCTGCTGCAGGGTTGGGTGGACCATGGCCTGAGTTCTCGGGTGACCCATCCATGGGGAAGGCCTGCTGTGCACTGGCCTTGATGCTGTGTGACGGCCCGGCACAGGAGGGGTGCGCGAGTTTGGGCTCCTCTCCACACTGGGCTAAAGCATCGCCCAGGCAGCTGGCCAGTGCCAGGGTCAGAGAAATACCATAGTGGTCACCTCTGCCGTGGGTTCTACATGCGTATGAAAGGCCCACGGGAGAGAAGACAGGGAACTGAGGGTGGCTGGTGATCTGCGAGGCTGAATTTTGGAGGGGTGTTGGTGTGGTGGGGGCGTCCAGTTCTCCATGCTGTGGAGGACTGCATGCTGTCCTGCCCTGGCTGCCCCCTCCTACGAGGCCCTCAGTGCTAAGGCAGGCTGACCACAGGCTGGGGCTGCCACACTTTTCAGTAGCACAAATTCTACTTTCCAAAATGGAACCCTGCCTTCTGGGTTGTAAACGTTTATTTTCTCCTTTGTGTATGGGCGGAGAACACGGTTTTTACATTATATCAATTTTTTAATATTCTATGGGAAAATGTAAAAGGATGTGAGGAAATGTTTCCACTCTGTGTAGAGAAGCGCTGAAGCACATAGGATGTGGAAGTGTGGGTCCACGTGGGTTTGGGGTGCAGCGCACATTGTTTATGGGCTTTTGACCTCTGGTTTTCAGTCGGATGATTAACTATGGATCCATTTGCCATCACGGGGGTAAACGACCCTGAAGGGGGTCTGGGGGTCTGCTTACTTTCTCTTGGGTTTTCTTCTTTTCTGGTTCATGTCCTCATTCATTCAATTCAAGGGAGCTTTGCTTGTCCCCACCCCAGCCAAGCCCATCCTCATGGGTGTCCAGACCCCATTAAGTCTCTTCCCAGTGGATCCAGGTCGTACTTGTTCCTGTCCAGCAAGTAGGAAGGGCTCCAAGAGTCCACTGAGCAGAGGTGGGGACTTTGGCCTTGTGTAGGGCAAGGCTGGGTCCCGGCAGATGGACTGCACGTTTGCTGAGAGCGCAGAGGTGGGCGGCTGGCCAAGCTCGGGCTTCAAGGGTTGAGTAAGAGCGCTCAAGTGGAGAGAGAAGGGAGACGCTCCCCAGGTCGAGTGGGGCACACATGGGAATGCTGTGCAGGGAGCGTCATGGAGTCAAGTTTGCCAAGAGAGCAGCTGCGGGCTGCTGCTCCAGGGTAACAGGCGAGCTCAGCAAGCCTCCGCCCGAGGGGCCGCTCGGGTAGGTCCCAGGTCACCTCCCCCCGCCCCTCTGTTCTTGGTATCTCACAACTTTCTTCCCTTGTGCTCTGATGATGGCCAGCATCCAGTCCTAGCCGCAGTGCCTAGCTAAGACCACACAATGCAGGGCTAGTGACTTCCAGCCTCTTTCTCCCAGGAGTTCTGGGTGGCTGACCGCGTCCCTCACACAGCTAGTTTTCAGGCTGGAAGGATAGGTGACAGGTGTGATCACGGTGGACGGAGAGAAAAACGTGTCACCCTGAGCCATGTAGAGATGTTGACTTAGTGCTGGTGTTCCCAGCAATTAAAGCAGTATATTTGGGTAGGGAATTTTAATTGAAGAAATATAAAATGTTCATTGGTATAATGTGCATATTAATTTAATATAATATGAATAAGAAGTCACTTGAGATGGAAGCTGCAAACAGCCCCCGCAGGGCTATTGCCATGACAGGCGACACAGGCAGAGCCTTGTTAACCCAGCAGAAGGAGCTCCCCTGCTGCCAGGAGAAAACCCAGCAACGGCTGGGTGGCCAGGTCCTCCCGTGCTTCGGTTAGGGGCAGCATCGGTGACAAGAGTCAAGGCGTAGCTAAAGCCCCTCCAGGGATGAAGATGGCAGT